TGTACATTAGCTCTTTAAAGATTATTCATTGCATTATAAATCCTACCAGTGCAATTCTTTCCATATGGTGATGTTATGTAAGATTTTCTTTTGTTGTTGTTTGTTTTGGGTTTTGTACCAGGAATGGAAGTCAGGATCTTGTGCTACAGTGTCACTGGCTATAGCCAGTGACGGCCCGGCCCTATATGGTGAAGTCATATAAAATACCAGGGTCTACACTGTATGTATCTCATACACACAATGCTGTTACAGTACTTTCATATATTGACACTTGACATAGAAAACAAGCTAAGAAACCCCTTTGCTTCCTAACAGAATGTTAAGAATCACAGAATTTTTGGTTAAGTTTTTAATAATGGGACAAACTAATTATTAGTGATTATTTTTCTTATTTTATCCTTACTCATTTCATTTAACATAACATAAGGAAGCATATTTAATAATTAGCAGAAATAGCTTAGGTTGAGTTTCTCTCCTGAAACTTCACAAAATTCATCTACGTGCCATCCCAGGAGATAAGAGAACTTTTCAGTGAGACTGGAATAGACCAGACAATGCACCTGTGTGGGAAGGTTTCCCATGCCATTTTTGTTCCCCATCAACACTCACAACCCATCATGATTCCTCAGAAATTTTCTATTTTCACCTAGGCATTCCTGAGAAAGAGGAATGAACGATAATTATTCACAAAAGAGGAATTTAAAACCTATCTCAATCCTGGAATGGTGGCACATGACTGTTTTCTCAGCACTTAAGAGGCTGAGGCAGGAGGATTGCCATGAGTTTGAGAACAGCCTGGGCTACACAGAAAGTTCCTTTCTCAAAATCAAAGCAAACAATAAAACATATCTTGACAAATTTTTTCTCTAGACCCAAAGAACTAGTAATTTATACTCCTGTTTTATTTTCTAAAAGATTCATAGTTCTGGGTCCTTTGATTGATTTTGGGTTTATTTTATATGGAGGTGTTGGTGTGACTGATGGGGTCCTAGGCAAGTTTCTAGGTTCTTGTGCATGATCAATAAAGAATTGGCCATAGTGCATGGCAGTAAGAAAAAAGCAGCAAAGTTTCATGAAGTTTAGTCAGGCTATGCTGAGAGTGTGTGGCTTGTACTGGCAGAAAGGAAACAGCATGAGCAACAAATGTGTTGAATTTAAGAATTTAAAATGTGCCAGGTCTTGGGTGTCTCTCACTGTGTCTTTCAGAGCATGACTGACAATGAGATTGACGGGCTACTGAGTCATGTCAGCTTTAAACCACTATGTAGCTCAGGCTGGCCTCAAACTCACAGTGATCCTACTGTCTCAGCCTTCCACGTGCTGGGATTACAGGCCAATGCCACCACACCTGGCTGCAGGTTTAAATTTTTAATGGGACAGTCAGGGAAGATCTCACTGAGAGGACTGTAACTTCTCAGTTGTCATTACAATAAAATGTTTTCAATAGAATCTATTGCATCTAATGTGCAAATCCTTTCCTATAATTCATTTTGTTATAATTAGATGTGTAATATGCAGTCCATACGTGTGGAACTTCTGTGAGCTCCAAATGAGGAAAGGTTAGTATAGGTCATGCAGGAGGATCTGCAAAGCATGTGTCTTATCTCTAGCTCTGGAGTGCCAGCAAGGCACTCCAGTGCCAGGACAAAGCAAGTTACTGGGTTGGCCCTGGAGTGTAGCCCAGGTTTAGGTGAGTAGAGGGGAGTGGTCCACTGGCCTCAGTGGTATCACCTCTATTGGTGTGAGGTAGCATTCCAACATCATTCTTTGGCAAGTGGATACCCAGTTTTCCAGATCCGTTTGTTCCTACACTGATTTTTCTCAGCACCCTTATTAAAATCAGTGACCATACATGTAACAATTATTTCTGGATTGTATTCTATCGATCTACATATCTGTTCTTTCGCTAGGACCTCACTAAATTGATTACTATAGGTCTCTGTGTAGTTGCTTTTGAAATGAGAAGTGTAAATCCAATTTTGCTCTTCTTTTTCAACAATGCTTTGGGCTATTCTGGGTGATTTGTATTTCTATGTGGATTTGAAGATCAACTGGTCATTTTCTGAAAAAAGTAAACTGTAATTTGGGTAGGCATTGCAGTGAACTAACTGGAGAAGCACTGCTGTCTTAACAATATCAAATCTTTTTTTCCTTTTTTTTTTTAGACAGTTTCACTATATAGCATAGGCTGACCTTGAACTCACCATGTAGGCCAGACTGGCCTCAAACTTGCAGCAATCTTCCTGCCTCAGCTTCCTAAGTTCAGAGATTACAGGCATGTGCCACCACTACCACCAATAACACTAAATCTTGCCATGCAAGCATAGGAACTCTTTCCATTGATTCAAATCTTTTCTGGACTGTGCACAGCCCAACCATTTGCATCTTTGCACTTTGTAAAACCCTTTATAAATGTCTTATTTTTAAACTTTTCTTTTTTAATTTTTTGGTCTCTCATTTATCTCAACTATTACTGCTGTCTCAGGGGAGTGTGACGTGAAACTACTGCCACTGATTGTTTTGGACAAATGCCTCTTGGGGGAAAGCTGTTTTGAGTCAAGTTAAATAAACACTCAGTTTTAGAACTGAGAGTTTTCCCAAAACCTGCCAGGGGCAGCAGCTGATAGTTCTTGGAGGATGATTGGTGGTGGTGGTGGGCTCCCAAGCCTCACTTTCCCCACACTGGCTGCAGGGATGAGGGTCTGGTCCTTGAGTGTGGAGCCGTTTGCCCTCTGGGCCTCAGTGGAGCTGAGGAGAAGGGGAAGGGACGGGGCTTGAAGCTCACAGTGCTTCCTGGATTCAGCCACTTTATTGGTAAATAGGTGCTCCTCTTTATTTGACATCCAGAGTTCTGTCAAAGGCATGCTTGGCAGGTTTACCAATGTCTCATCACTTCTGTGCACAAGCAGCTTTTTAGACGTTCTCACTGCCCCATCCCCACTAATTCCTAGTCCCACCTCTCCATCTCTTACCGCCCTTCATGTTAGAGAAAATCACTCCATTCCTCTGAGCTTCTGCCTCCCCATTTGGAAAAAAAAAAAAAAGAGGACATAATGATTATCCCTCAGAGAACTATAAATATCAAATTACATCAGGAAAAGCACAGCAGTCATGCAAGTAAGAGCACATTGCTGGGTCCTGTCAGCCAGGCTGTGAGCTCCTCTCCGCCCTGCTGCAGTCCCTCCCAGGTCTTGACCCTCCCCCGTGCATGGATCCACCCATCACTCTTGGTGCACAGGCAGCTCCTTTCTTCAGAAGGTATTGACAGCTAACAATCCTCTCTCTCATCCTAGAGTAAAACTAGAAAGAAGTGAGTAACAGCCTGTGTCTGCCTTCACTGTGGAGTGAGGACTTGAGGCAAAGAGCAAGGAAGTGATTTGTCTAAGATCACACAGCTGATTATTTAGCGCTGCAGAGCTGATTGCTGACTCGCTGTTTCCATCCTGTAACTCAGGACCGCACAGGGCCGAGGAGGAGGAATAATAGTACCTTAGGTGTAAGTGTTTTTCTTACGTTTTATTTTTAGAGACAGTGAAGAGAAATGGGTAATCTCACCCAAAGCCATACGATAAAAATATTTAATTTGGAGTTAAAGCATTACTATCTCCTATTTAATAAACATAAGCAAGGAACTTAGTTGATTTCAGGAAAAAAATCTTGTTTAATTGGTTTCTCAGAGGCTGCAGATAAGATCAAACCATCTTTACAGAGTCAAGCAGGAAGTTTCATCAGAAATCTGTGTCGTAAGCTAAGTTTCCAAGGATCCTACCACTGGAGTCCTTTTAACCTGCAAAGTACAAATCAATGCCCAAACAGCTCACGTGATTAATAGGCAATTACCTTTGGAGCAAGTGTGACACTCAGCCTTAATTCATTGGTTTTCATGCTCACCACAGATGCTATTTGTGCCATAATTTTCTCATTAAGCATATTCCTATTTGCTGAGTATTTCTTGGAGTAAGTTTACTTATTTATTTATGGTTCTGGGGATTGAATCAGCCCCCTGTACACACCACGCATGCATTGTACTGCTGAGCTGCACTCCCAGGCCCTGGACGACAGTTGTGGAAAACCTACAATATACTCACCACAGCAGGCTGTGTCACTGAAAGCTCTAAAAGGTTTGCAATCTCTGCCCTGGGATAAGTTTTGAAGAACAGGATGAAGGTAGTAGGTTTTCTGGGCCCTTGAATTGCAAGAATGTGTGTCTGTTGTTTCCGGAGTAAATAACTTGGCCACCTGGACACTTGGATAACAAATATATCCCCTTCTCTGGAGCAGATCAGTTCCACTTGTTCCAGAATCAAGAAGGGATATGAACAGTTTACAAAAGGCACTGTAAGGAAGGCCTCACATCCCATTTCAGGTGTTTCGGGCACTTCTAAACATAAACCTGCTGGGGAAGAGTGAATTGAAGGGTGTGGACAGAGGCTGGGAAAAGACCGATTTCCATGGAACACTAGTGAAGCCTCTGGAATAAATTGCCCCCTTTTTGTCACAACTTCAGGTTCAAAGTTGCCAGAGTACAAAGATCTGAAGCCAGCAATGGAAAGGCCAGCAGGCTGGCACTCCAGCCAGACTCTGGGAGTTAGAACACAAGGTTCATTAACTTGTGAGTGGACACTCCGAGGTTCAGGCATCCCAGGGTCATTTATAATCCATGTCTCTTCCTATGGCATAGCCAGTGCTTGGAGCTCAGCACACCCCACTGCCATGATAATGACAATACTGGCTAATACGTTCTAAGCGCTACACATGTCAGCCTTTACACATATCTTAGGAAGACATAATTGTTATCTCATTCTCAGTTTACACAGGAAGAGTCAACGGTAAAGAAAGGCCAAATTGGTGCAATGGGCTCCACTCCTGGCAAATGGTAAAGCCTGTAATAAAATGGATTGAAGTTGATGTCAGAGAACACACTTCCTCCCACTACAATATACTGACCTAACAATCATAACCTTGTGTCAATGTAACCTTAAAATGTTGCTATTGTGCAGGATATGGTGGTGCACACCTGTGATCCCAGCTTTCGGGAGACTGAGGCAGCAGGATCACTGCAAGTTTAAGGCCAGCCTGAGAGAAGCCTGTTGCTATCGGATTGCCTACCAAAAAGATATTTCGGGGCTACATGGCGGTAGCTTACCGGTAGAGTACTTGGCTTGCATGTGCCCAGGTTTGATCCCTCAGCACTGAAGGAGGGAGGGAGGGAAGGATTTTGATGATTCTCACTATAATCAGTAAACTATCGCTCTGAGATACCTGAAGCACATGTTCCCCCTGGGGCTGGGCTCTACTGCTTCTTCCACCTGTGGTCACATCATCTCTGCCCTCTCAGGACCACTTTAGGTGAAAACACAATTTTGAAAACTATATGCCGTGTGAGGGGAGGATTGATGAGATAATTGCTCAGATTTCTTGCAGCTCCAAAGTTCTGTGATCTCGTGAGATGAGTTGTTAAAGAAAGGTGTTATGCCTATGAAAACCATCTAAATAAATCGAAATGATAAAAAATATCTGAGAGGTGCTGAGGACAAACAGGTACACTCATGTTTACCTGTGAAAATATTTTTGCAGTAAGCAGTGTGTGTGTGTGTGTGTGTGTGTGTGTGTGTGTGTGTGTGTGTGTGTACACATAGGTATGTAACCTAGCATTTCTACTTTTGGAGATTTAACAGTTAAGGATGGTTTTTGGTCACAATTACCAGAACCCTGCTTCTAGAGTTTAAATGTATAGAAGTTTGTGTTTCTGACCTACCAAGAGGTTGAGAGGTAGGCAGTTTCTGGCATGGGCTTGACAGTCAGATTCTGTTCAAGACAGACTCTGGGATCCTCTTGGTCACAAGAAAGCCATCTATGGTAGTCACAGAAATTCACTGCCCAGATTTCTCACTGTGGAGAGAGCCACAGTGGACGGACAGACCATCTCAGCTGTCAGAGGCTCTGACACCAGTGAGGGGACAGAGCAGAGCTGCAGTGCAGCCCCAGGCCTGTAAGATGCAGTGAAGGACGGTGGTGGAACAGCTGGGACAGCTGGGAAAATGTGAATCAGGTCGGTAGAGCAGCATATAGCAGCGAATCAATGTTACTTTCTTGATTTTTGATAATTGTACTATGGTCAGGTAAGAGAATTTCTTATTTTTAGAAATGTACTCACATGCTTAGTGGCAATAGGAAATTGTATCTACAACTAATTTGTAAATGGTCCAGGGAAAAAATATTCCAGGAGAGGAATGGAAATGTTAACATTTGGGGACTACAGCATACAGTTGGGGGTTTTTTTTGTACCTTTTTTATAAGTCTGAAATTGCTTCATAATACAAAGCTAAACGCATCTAAAAATATTGATGTTCACAGTTGAACAAAATTGTCAGGGTCTATAGCATAAAAAAGGGTAAAATGGTACTGTTGACCGTTTGTTTGTTTGTTTGTATAAGACAAGGCCTCACTTTGTAGTGCAGGCTGGCATTGAATTCACCTCAAACTCAAGATCTTCCTGCCTCAGCTTCCTGAATGCTGGGGTTATTGGCATGTGGCACCAGGTGAAAATGGTATACTGTTATCAGCTTACTCCATCTTATGTTTTATTCATTTATCACTTAGATGTCTCTACGTTACCTATTGTCAATGGAAACTTGCTACTCTTCAAAATAAATGAAAGAGAGATAGCAGTTTTTAAGGTCCTGTTTTTGTTAGGAGAAACAGCAATTTTTAAGGTCCTGATCAGCCTCTGATCTCTGAGCACTCTCCAGGCTCTGGCGTTCTAATCTCAGTTCTGTCCACAGGGCTCTGGGTGCTTTGTATTTACCCCAAGGTTAGGATCTCAAAACTCCTCTGCGTTGAACTTCTACTAAGATGGTCTCTTGTTTCCTTAAACAATATTCTTGTCCAGCCCTGGGGCTCTTCCCCTGCCTTGTCACCTGAATCTCCCTCAGGTGGTCAGAAATAACAAGCCAAGTGTTTATCTCTCCAGATGTTTAAGGGCCCCAAAGCGGTAGGAACAAGCCCTGGGAACAAAACAGACAGAAGCTACACTCTCACGGGAAAGCCACATTCTAGAAGCGACAGAGAAAACATGAGATGCATGTTCAACAGGTACCTACGGACAGGTTGCCATCCGAGAGAAAAAGGACACTTGTCTTATGGAGCTCCTGGTCCGGACCCAGCAAGCCGTGTTGGAGTGAAACAGCCCGGGGTCGAGGTTCTGGGCGACTTCCGAGAAACCATTAGAGAACATCTTCCTCCTGGCACCCCATCGAGCGGGCACAACCTGGATGCATTCTTTCCAGGAAGGAGAATAAGCAAAATGTCATTGGGTCTTCCCGGAAACAGGCGACCTAAGCTCCTGTTGGCGGAGTCAGGGCCTGGTGCAGCTGGGCCCCTTGACCTGGAGCAGACCAGACGCAATGAGGCAGGTACTCCTAGGACCAGGAGGCTCAAAGGGTGTGAGCTGTCACCTGCACTGAGGCTCCAGCGAAGCCGCATGGGACCAGTCCCAGTCCCGAAGGGGCCCTGGCTCCCAGCCCTTCTGCCCTTCGAATTAGCAGGGCCGACTCCAACACGACCCTTACTTCACTGATTATTTTTTCCGTCTCTAGTAAGTCCTTTCTTTCACGATAGAGAATCTCAGAATCAAAACCAACTGGTGGAACCGTCTCAGTGCGGCTGTTCTCCCAGTGGGGCACCAACCCATTTGTCTGCAGGAATGAATCGCATCTCCAGGGCCTCCCCACAAATGCCATCACCCTGAGGCTGTGATTTCAACTCACAACTAGCAAGGGGACACGCATTTCAAAGGAAACAGCTAGGTCTCAAAAGCTTTTCTATCATCTCGCTTTATACATGTTCCTTAAAATCATCCTGATGAAGTGATGCTCTCCTGATGCAAACTTCACCTCCTGCTGCAGAGACACTTGGTCAATGCTGTGTTCTGGGGTTTTCTGGGACAGAGATCTACATATTAGTGACAGCCCCAAGGAGCTTTCATAATGTGAGTCGTGTTTATTTACTCTTACCAAGTTCACATTTAAAACATAAGTTTGTGGGCCAGGGATATAGCTCAGTGGTGCCAATAAATAAATAAATTAACTAATTAAAATAAAATCAAGGCGGCAGGGCACTGGGGACTAAGCATGGGGGGTCCTGAGTGAGCTTCATGCTCCGTTACTGAGTCCCAGCCCCCATCCACAAAGTGAGAAGCCGTTAGCATTTTTATTTAAAAATAATAATAATAAACACACATGTAAACATAAATATTTTTCACGACAGTGCGAGGAGTGTCTTTGCCATACTTTTTTGAACTCACTATGTAGCCCAGGCTGGCCTCGAACTCACAGCTGTCCTCCTGCCTCAGCCTCCTGAATGCTGGGATTGCAGGCGTGCAACACCACACCCAGTCCTGTTTTACATTTTTACAAACACCCTTAACATTTGGCCCAGTAAAAGGCAGTTGAGTGCCTTGCAGCTTCTGTACTCACTTGAATTTCATATCTTGGTCACAGAGCTGTTAGATTCCCAGCACCCCAAGGGATGATGAGAGGGGCAAGTCCACAGGGCCCACCTCAAAGGTCTAGGGCAGCCCCCAGGATCCCTGAGACATACTCGGAGACCAGCATTAGAGATACTGCAGGCTGGTAGCAATGTAGATGGGTCCTTTTCTTCCTTACAGGTAAATGCTCCTTACTTGACTCTCCTCATATCCTCCTGGCCTCTAACTTCATGAGCTTCTTCTCACCAAATTCTTTCTCCACCACCATCAGCATCCTAAAATGACAGGGTAACTTTTAGTAAGCAGCTTCTATCAGTCAAGTGCTAGTTATGGGTACCCCATCTCCTGAGCTGGATTCAGTGAACAGCACTTGTCTTGAGCCATAAAATATAATACATAAGAGAGCAGTATAAACGTGGGTGGTGGGTACAGGAGAGGAATTAGCCCTGCACTGTGCTGTCCCCTACACAGCCAATGTCACCGGTACAGTCTGTGCTCCAGGCAATCAAGTTACAGCAAATATAACCGAAAACTGCCTAGTAATGCTAGGGGTTTACCACCTGTGCAGCCACATCGCTAGCTAGCTGTCCAGGGCCGCACACAGTTCCCAGGTCCTGTGATGGACGTACCTGTGACCTACACTAAGCATTCTGTTTGCTGTCACCTTTTATCTCTGGGCTAGCTCCTGGGGACAGGCAGTATTACCAGCCCTACCATACTGATGCAGAAAATGAGACATGGAAAAGACAGTGAAATACCCAAACCATAGAGCAAGTACATTAAGAAAAGAAGAGTCTAGCCGGGCTTGGTGGTACACACTTGTAATCTTGGCACCCAGGAGGCTGAGACAAGAAGGTCACCGAGAGTTTGAGGCCAGTTTGGGCTACATAGTGAGACCTTGTCTCAAACATAACAACAACAAAAAAAACAAAAACCAAAGTAGAATGCAGGAGTCCAATCTAGGACCACCCAACTCTATATTTCATGATTTAATTGTACTTGATCTTTCTAAATAGTAAGGATCTTATTTCAAACTATAATTTTGAAGGAAAATCTCTCATTTTATGTACTCCATGGGCCTTTAAGTTTTTCAGTTTTGTAAACTCAGTGCAAATGGTTACATGTCTTTTGGGAACCTTGCTTTTGAAATTTTATGTTTTCTTTTGAACACTGGGCCACTCTGCAGTGGCTTCAGAAAGCATTGAATCTCTAGCTAGACGCTGGTTTTGGGGAATCCTGATCTCAAATAAATATCCTTTGAGTTTTTATTTTTTGTTTTATTTTGTCATAATTGCTGTTTTTCCCATTTGCAGTGGGTCTAAGGACTCATGTCATGATTTCATTCTTGATGTGACCTTATTTGGAAACAGGGTCTTTGCCAATGTAACCAACTAAAATGAAATCACACTGGATTGCAGTAGGCCCTGAACCCACTGACAGCAGTCTTATAAGAGTCAGAAAAAGCCTCAAGAATGAAGCCAGAGAAAGCAGAGGGGAAGATGGGCTGCATGCCCAGGAATTTGTAGGGCCACCAAAAGCTGGAAGACTCTAGGGGATTCCGCCCTGGAGCCTTCCCAGGTGTATAGCCCTGCATGAACCCCAGCTTCCTGTTTCTGTGCTCTATTCCTACTTGACTGCAACACTGAGAAGGGGTGGTTCTCAGGGTGGTGCTTAGGGACACCTGGGAATTGCCCCCAGAAATGTGAGAGAAATGAATTTCTGTACCTATGCCTGCTCGGATTCCACACTGATCCAGGAGGACACGAGAACCATGTGCCCTGCCCCTAGTTGATGCTAACCCTGCAGCCATAAGGACTCAGCACATGGCAAAACAGGTGACAACCAACAGACCAACCTGATCTAAGAAGAGACCAACCAACATCTAGGAGGAATTTTGCTTCAGGATTTAAAATGGTACCCCATCACAGAGACTGGGTGAGAGGTGGCTTTGGCATACAGGTATGGAGAGGGTGAAAGCTACATAGGAATCTCCTGGGACCCCCTAAAAGGCTGTTATGGCTTGTGTCTAGATGTTCCCCCAAAGCTCCATGTGCTCATAGGTAGGCTTTGCAGAGGTGGCTGGGTCTAGAGTGAGTGATGCTGGGATGATGTGTGTGATACTAGGGTCAAGGGCATGTGATTAGTTAATTAGTTGGGCATGGATTGGTTTGGCATAGTTCTGGGAGTGGGTAATCAAAAGGCCCTCCCGGTGAGTGGCCTGGATAGAACAGAAGGGACAGAAAGAGGGCTTCTATGGTTGCCTTGTTTGCTGGTTTACTGTTTCTGCCCTCCATAAACTGTTTCTCCTCTGTGATGCCCCTCTGCCACGCCACCCTGCCTTAGAGCCAGCCGATTATGAAACCTCTACAATCTGTGAGCTATAATAAACCTCTCTTCCTCCCTAAACTTTGGGCATTGGTTTTTTGGTCTTAGCAACAAGTGACTAAGACAGAGGCCCAGGTTCAGACCAGGAAGATCCTGAGGCCTGTGTTCTGCTGTGACAGGCCAGGCTTGGCTGCTGTAGTTTTCAGGGATGTGGTCCTGGAGAAGAAGGCTTAAGTCTAGTGGTAGATTTGAACTCTGTCACTGCTGCCCACATCATCAGGAAATAGTGGCCTGAGTTGCTAGGCAAATATAAGGGTGACTTAATTGTCTTCAATAAAATCAGAGTCCTCTGTTTTGGTTAAGGGCTGTTCATGAATTGTTCCTAGATATCCAGATATCTAGGTTCCTGGATATCCTAGATATCCAGTTTACATTTGGTTCCATTCTTGTTACTGAATTTACTACCATAGCCAATGTAACATAGTGGTGGCTGGCAACTGGTTTTCTTTCTCTGCTGATATTTACATTGCCAGGGGGTCATAAATAACACTGTGGCTCACTTCCAAAGAACAGCGCACTGAGCCAAAAAATTTGAAAATCCCAGGACAAAACAAATAAACAGAAATCCCTGAAACAAGAAAAAAAAAAAGGCAACAAGATGCCTTCAAATTCTCACATCTCCTGCAAAACCAGTTCAGGAGAATAGACAGAGAGAAAATCATAAGCCATACAGCGGATAGATCTGAAGGAGTATCGATGGAGGTAAAACTGTTCCAAAAGTTGTTTATGAGATGTAAAAGAGATATAAGTAATCAGTTAATGACTCTAATGAAATGATAAAGAAGTCTGGAGAAGACATTAATAAAAAAATTGGTGGCACTAAAGAAGAGATACAGAACAGGGATGCCCAGCATAGAAAAGGACATGAGTCCATAAAAAAGTTCCAAACAGAAATTTGGGACATTAGAAACATTTTATTTATTTATTTATTTTTAAATTTTATTTAAGGAGAAAAAGAAAAAAAACAGAAAAAGGGTATAAGTAATGCAGAATTTCAAAAAAAATAAACAGAAAGAAATCACTAGTTAATAGATTACATATTGTCATCTTAGAAATAGTTGTTCAAGTTACAAAATTAAAGCATATAAAGTGGACATTCAAAGAGTGAGACTGCAAACAATTCTATTCAATGATCCAACAAAAACTCAGTAATATGGTCATCTATCTTATATGCTTAAATATACATGCAGTTATATCCTTTAGAGGATTTTCTTTTCCTCTCTTTTTTACAATGACAATTACATATTTTGGGTTTTATTACTCCCACAGTTCTTATTACTTTTTTTTGAAGAGAATAAAACCAAATGTGACATAACAAAACAGAGTCAGTCAAATCAAAAGGATGGACATAGTACATAATGTAAAAACAGAATACAAGGTGACCAACAATGGTTACCATAATGCCTCTTGCGATCTTAAAAAGAATTGCCTATATCATCAGTTATAGTAAAATTGAACAAAACAGTAAAGAACAAAACCAATAAAACCAAAACACTGGAGACATTACAGGTCTCCAAAAGAAGATAATAGTCAATGGGCGTCATAATGAATCTTATTGTCTTCACAGTTGTTGCCTATACTCTCAAACTTGATACTATCAAACAAAATAGAATAGAGTAAAATCAGTCGAAACAAGATGGTGAGAGCAATACAGGGTTTCAAATCAAGTTAACAGGAAATCAAAGTGGGTTACTATAATATATCCTGCTATTTTTTAATTTATTTTCCCTTAATTAAAAAGATAAAAATAAATAATAGAAAAAGGAGATTTAGATAAAAGAGGACATAACAACAAAACAGCACAGGTCAGAACATAACCTTTTAAGCAAAATAGTGTTTCACCACAAGATATCCCGACATAAAAGTAGTTACCATAGTGTCTCTTTCCTTGAAATCTTTAAGTATAACTTCGTATACTGTAGCATCAAACATATCAAGACAATGTAAAGCCATTAAAGAGAATGACAGTATTACAGGGTATCTAGAACCAACTAACAGAAAATGAACAATGGTTTCTGTATTATCTCCTTGTCTATAAATGTTTTTATTTATATTATCACATATAATAAAATCCAATAAGATACAACATGTTAAGACCAATGGGAGACAGAAGAACAAAAGTTTGATGGGACTTCAAAACAAGATGATATTAAATCAGCACTAGCTATTATGATGTCTTGTTTTCTCCAAAATAGCTGTTCCTACCATCTAACCTTCTCTGCCTCATTTCTGTTGAGCTCTTTTTCTGTCATTAGTTGTCAGTTTGTCGTCTTCATTTTGCTGTCTGCTCCATTCATTGTGGCCTCTCTGCCACTGTTTCTGGAATCTTGGTATTTTTCTCTTTTAGAATATCCTGCAATATTCTCTGTGGATTTGAATTGGTGGTTGCAAATTCCCCTAGTTCCTCTTTATCCTGGAAGCACCTTGTTTCTCCATTAATTTCTAGGAACAGTTGTGCAGGGTATATCAATCTTGGCTGGAGGTTATTGTCTTTCAAATCTTGAATTATTTCACCCCACACTCTTTGTGATTTGATGGTTTGTGCTGAGAAGTCTGCTGTAATTCTGATGGGTGTTCCCTTGTAAGTGATCTGTTTCTTGTCTCTGACAGCTTTTAATATTCTATTCTTATATTGGATTTCTGGAATTTTGATTATTATATGCCTGGGTGTAGTTCTGTTTAGGTTGTAGGTGGCTGGGGTCCTGTATGCCTCATACATCTGAGTATCCTTACCTTTTCCCATATTAGGGAAGTTCTCCTTGATTATTTCTATGAATATCCTTTGCAGCTCATTTGTTTGTACCCCTGCTTCTTCCTTTACATTCTTAATTCTTAAGTTATAGATCCTCTTATCATCTTCTAGCCTTTGTATTGTTACTGCTTGTTTCCTTGTTATTTTTAAGAAGTTTTTCCTTTCATGCTCCCACATTACAAATCTGTCCTCCAGTTCAGATAATCTATCCTTAGTTTCTTTCAAGCTGTTATGCCAGGTTTCAACAGAGGACATTAAAAATATTGATGAATGTATAGGTAGCCACCAACATGAAAACTAAATTTCAGATATAGAGGCAAGAGCTGTGGTAAATGATGAATTAATAACAGATTCCTTGAAAATAACCAAGAACATGAGGGTTCAACCATTCTTGGATGACTCAAAGAGGACTAATATAAGACTATTAAGTTAGTGAAAAATTCCAAAGATAGAACAGTGTGTAAAAACCTGTTTACACAAGTAATAGCAGAAAAATTTCCAGATATAAAAGAAGAATTTAACATACAGATGAGAGAGGTATATAAGACCCTGAATAGCCATGACCAGAAAAAAAAAAACCATTCCATGCTTTATAATAATTAAAATACCAGAAACACACCATTTGAACAGAATCTCAAAGGCTGTTAGAGAAAAGTGAGGAATCTTCTACAAAGGAAAACCCATCAGAATTGTAACAGATTTCTCAACACAAACCTTAAAAGACAAGGAGAGTATAAGACAAAATATTTTAAGCTCTAAAAAAACACAATTTCCAACCTGGATAGTTCTATTTTGAAAAAACATTTTTCAAAATTAATGGTATTTCCATGATAAAACCTAAAGAAGTTCATGCCCACCAAGCCAACGTTCAAGAACCTCCTGAAGGGTGTGCTACATGGAGACAGTGAAGGCAGCATTGCCAAAAGGCCCAATAAAATGAATACATCGGGCAGGGCTAGCAGGTAAGCAGAAGGGAAAGAGAGCAAAGTAGCAATAGGAAACTAATAAAATAACAGACATAAGTCAATACCTATTAGTCATAACTATCAATGTAAATGGGCTCAGCCCACCAATCGAAAGACAAGATTAGCAGAATGAATCAAAAAAAAAAAACCCAATGGTACACTGTAT